CTAATTAGAAATATCCATGTAATCAATTAGTTTATAAAAAAAAAATAAAAAAAACTCAATTACTCTCGAAATTTATTTAACTTTCAATTATTTAAAACAAATGTAAAAAGAATGCAATTATTTTATATACGAACCATTTAACTATAATTTTTTTTAGACCTTGTGACGGACTAAAGGTACCTCATCTGAATTGCGTAATTTTCATATTATTTAATTCTCTCGATGAGGAATCGAAGATATCCAAATATTACGATCTGATTTTGTTTTTTAAAGTAAACATCCGATATTTGAATATGATATATAGATTAGATTCTATTCCTCAGCGAGAGGAATTGAATGCATATAGATCACTCGATTCCGATTACTATATAACCACACCATCGGGACCTGCAAAAAAAAGCATCTTATATAGAAAATATGCTTAGAATATGCTTATGTACGTGTAGAAACTTTTCTTATATATTTAATAGTAGTTGGCTCAAAAAATAGCGTGCTTATAAACATGATGCGCTTAAGTCAAAGAATAATAAATTTTCGTTAGAGTAAATAACGATACCAATAAAACTGGTACCAGGAAAAGATCTAATTTTATTAATAAAACTTAAACCAAAAAAATCCTTGACAATTTATTACATCGCATATATACGCTTGATTAGAAATCAAACTAGTACAATGTTAAGTAATAAATTAATATCGATATAAAATCAAAAAAAAGATATTCATTATTTTAATATTATTTTATAACTTAATTATAACAATAACGATTGCCAGCAGTTTTGGTGATTTTCTTGAATACTGGTGTCCCCAAAGTTGGTCGACACCATGCTCTAAACCCAATATTCTTTGGGTCTTCAAGCTCTTCTTTATTCTCGTTTATTACTGTTAAAACTTTCTTAGAGGCTTGTTCATATGCTGTCTAAAAAGTCATTGCGCGAAAAATCAATTGACTGATTAACAATTTCAATATACTGTAGGAGTAACTATACCTGAAACGTTCGCAAAAGATCTATCCCATTTAAAAACGTGCTACAGGTTTCAAAGGATCTTGGCAATTCTACACTACCAACTTCTACCATTAAATAAACACCGAGTGCAATTAGAGTCATAAAATACCCGTCCACTTTGTTACTGTTTGATGATCATAAATTAAACCGCTTGTTAAACTTTTATTTTATTTTTTTGGAAATAAACCAACTTGCCGATAGATTGCAATGCAAATACAGTAGAATTGACACAGGTTTTTTTTGTAGAATATCATCAATAAAATCTTTCATAAAAATTCCTAATCGAATGAGATTAATT